GGGCAGGGATAAATTAGGTGTTTGGGATTAACAGATACTTACTACTATATATAAAATAGATAACCAACAACAGCCTACTGTATAGCACAGGGAACTATACTCAATATCTTATAATAACATAATGGAAAAGAATCTGAAAAAGAATATATATACACATATGTCTGTGTATGTATATATATATATATATATATATATCTCTGAATTACTTTGCTGTACAGCTGAGACTAACACAACATTGTAAGTCAACTATATTTCAATTTTTTTAAAAAAAGTGCCTTCACAGAGCAGGCAGACTATTAAAATGTGGAGCTTCTCTCTTCCCCCAGATAGTCCCAGAACAGTGTGCTCAGGTATTGTTTCCAGTTCTTCTTTTTTTTAAAAAAAATATTTATGTATTTATTTATTTGGCTGCGCCAGGTCTTAGTGGCAGCACACAGGATCGTCACTGCAGCATGCAAACTCTTAGTTGCAGCATGTGGGATCTAGTTCCCTGACCAGAGATCAAACCCGGGCCCCCTGCATTGGGAGCACAGAGTCTTAGCTGGACCCCCAGGGAAGTCCCTGTTTCCAGTTCTTAAGCTGATTCACTCCAACTATTCAGAAAGGTAGTAAGTTGACTAGAGCCTCATGAGTGAATATTCAGTTTACAGCTCTGTGTTACACATGTCCTTCAAACAAGGGGATGAATATACCCCTTCTCCTATTACTCTCTAGCCCGTACCCAACTTCTTTTCTTCTGCAGGTAACATTCTGAAAACATGATTTACCTGGAAGAAAAAAACCATTGGGGAGGGGAGGTGTTCAGGAAAATGGAAAATCACCTGCAAATATCTGTCCTGGACCTTACTTACTCTTTTGCAGATGGCTCACAAGAGCAAAACATTTGAGGAAAGGGACCATAATCAAGGCGAATAGTTGGAAAGGAGCAGAGGATGAGAGGACTAAAGCAGGACTAAAGCAAGCTCTAGATTTTTGGCCTCCATGAAATATGTGAGATATTAAAGGAATACAGAAGAGAAGAAATGGTTCTTAGCCTCGAGGAATTGTAATCTAGTAGGAGAAATAACATGCCTTTTGTGTTGGGTGTCCACAACACCACCCTCAGTTTCAGTGATTTGCTGGAAGGACTCACAAGATTCAGAAAGTTTCTATACTCCCAGTTACAGTTTATTACAGCAAAAGGATACAGCTTAGAATCAGCAAAGGGGAAAGGTGCATCGGCAAAGTCCAGGAGAAACCAGGAACCAGATTCCAAATGTCCTCTCCCAGTGGCATCCCACAAATAGCCTTAATTCTCCAATCAACTACATAATAACACATGCAAAATGTTGCTAACCAGGGAAATTCACTCAAGCCCTGATATCCAGGATTTTAATTGGGGGTAAGTTGTGAAGCCACACAGCACCTGTGTGATTGATCTTAACTACTTAGTCTCCAGCCCCTCAGAGGTCAAACTGACACAGCATGGCCCAGGGCCTCAGGTATGCAAAAACCATTGTTAGCCTTGTTAGTATCAGATCAAACTGATAGAGTGTGGCTCAAAACTTCAAGCTTACAAACACACTCTTATTAGGTAAGATAACAGTTCAGAGATCATCTCCCAGGAGTTATTCAAGGGTCAGTTCTTTCTGTGGAATATGTAGATGATTGTGTAACCCACCCTCACTGAGTTAACCCTTTACTGCATCACCAAGTAGTATGCAGACTATAAACTATTTTAATTAAAAAAATATTTATTTATTTTATTTTGGCCTCGCCTTGTGGCATCTTAGTTCTCCAACCAGGGATCGAACCCAGCCCTCAGCAGTGAGAGTGCAGAGTCCTAACCACTGGACTGCCAGGGAATTCCCTATAAACATTTTTAAAAAAATAACGGAATTTAACATTTTTCTGATAGCAGAAAACTTAATCTAGTCATATTCTCAGTTACTTTAGGTTTTGTTTCTATTTTGTTTTTGGTCATCATTTCAGATTTTAAGTCAGTCAATACAATATTCATTCTCCCTTCTATCTAGGGCCAATTTGAAGATCCGAGGCCGTAATAGGGCCATGGCATATGTGGGAGAGACACTGGGTCCTCGGGCATCCTTGGTTTACGGTGGCATACATAGAATGTGCCTTGCCTCCATTGGTTCTTGACTGCTGACATCTCTCCGGAAGCCACTGAGGTAATGCAGGACAGTCTTTGGTCCCTGCACACTGCATCCTCCTTGTCCTTACAATGAAGCCTCAAGTCATCCAAGCCTTTGGACTACTACTGAAGGGACAAAAATCTTTACTTTTTTCCTTTAAAGCTATAGGAGATTGAGCGAAGGGGTAATCTCAAACTCTTCTTGTCCAGACCTGTGTCACAACCTCTGAGAGTTCTACTCAAAAATAATTTTGTTAAACTTCCTTGGAAGTTCAAGAATTTCCATCCATTGCTACCTTTTAAGGGGTGGGTGTGAGAAATCCTCACCAGCATCTAATGCTCTTGCTCTCCTTGCAGACTCCCTTCTCTTCCAGCACAGGCAACCTGTATCTCCTCTCTCAGAAATGGTGATAGAAGTAGTGCTGGTGAAGTTTAGAAAATGACAAGCCATCCAATTAGGCTGAAGCTTAGAATGGGTATGGGAAAGCAGTGAGGATCAGGCAGGAAGATCGAATGAGGCTATCAGGCAGGGATGAAATTGTGGAGAGCCTTGGATGCAGTGGGGAGCCATAGAAATTATAGAAAAAGAGAGGGCAATAGAGAGAGCTGTAATTAAGGAAGAATAAGAGTGTGGATCTCTGTGAAATATTTTTGCAATACATTTGGGAGGACAATATATAGATAAGATAATTGGGATTAAAAAAACCTAGGGCTTCCCTGGTGGCGCAGTGGTTGGGGGTCCGCCTGCCGATGCAGGGGACACGGGTTCGTGCCCCGGTCCGGGAAGATCCCACATGCCGCGGAGCGGCTGGGCCCGTGAGCCATGACCACTGAGCCTGCGCGTCCGGAGCCTGTGCTCCGCAACGGGAGAAGCCACATCAGTGAGAGGCCCGCGTACCAAAAAAAAAAAAAAAAACAAACCTAAAACAATAAATTCATTTTCTGGACTTAAAAAAACCCAGAAGCCGTATATATTTGAACAAAGTAAAACATGATTGTTTTAATTACATGAGACTAGGAAGTCTAAGAATATGGAAAATAGTTTTCTCTAAAACTAATTATCCATGATGATTTGAGAAACTGAACTAGAGGGTTGTATTAAATTGCATGGAATTCTCTCCAAACAAGCCTCCCCAATTTACCTCTTATTCTTTTCTTCTCCACTGCCATCATCTGAAGGAATACAAGGCACTTGTCTTTCAGTCTGCTTGAATCCTGTATACCACCTCTACAATGAATTATTAGCATATTAAAAGCATTACTTTTAATACAGAATTTGCTTTCCTACTATATGAAGATTTTCAAGGTACGGCTACAAAAACAGGGTACAGAGGGAAGGGCATTTCAAAACAAAGGGAAAAGCACGTGTAAAGCAGGGAAGAGTTAAAATTGCTGGAGCATAAAGTAGTGGGAGCTTCAGCTTGAGAGGTGTATGGGGATGAAATTTGGAGGGATAACAGGTGGGATAAGAAAATTGTTGCTCTAAAGCTGTTCCTGGATCATCCACATCACAATCAGGAGATGCTGCTAAAATTGAATATGGGGAGGGGTCCAAGGATCAGCGTCTAAGTAAATTTGCCAGGTGATTCTTATCCAAACTAAGGTTTAAGAAACTACTACTATACAAAATAAATAGCCCTTGAATGTCATTAAGAAGGAAAACTTCACTCTGGAGGCCTATGGAAATTGGATTTAAGGATCTGTTTGGGAAAAAGGCTGCTAGGAGAGGAATAATTTGGGAAAGGTAAGGTCTCGAGGGAGAGCTAGGATGCCTGGAGTTGGCCCTTTGGCCATTTTTTTTTTTTTTTTTTTTCCCGGTACGTGGGCCTCTCACTGTTGTGGCCTCTCCCGTTGCGGAGCACAGGCTCCGGACGCGCAGGCCCAGCGGCCATGGCTCAGGGGCCCAGCCGCTCCGCGGCATGTGGGATCTTCCCAGACCGGGGCACGAACCCGTGTCCCCTACATCGGCAGGCGGACTCTCAACCACTGCGCCACCAGGGAAGCCCCCTTTGGCCATTTTTAGAGTGAAAATATGTGTAACTTCTGATATAAGTGTGGGGTGGGGTTGGGGGGATGAAAAAGAATATTTTAGAATTATTTGGCTATCAGTATTGACATTTGTTTCTATTTCTTGTAATGATGCCATGTTTATGCAATAAAACACTTTCAAACAATATATATTAACTCCTTGGAAAATAAACCATTTTTATTCACTTAAAAAGCAAATCACTGACTTTAAAAATTCATTTCACCTTTTTCATTGGGGAAACCCTTTAAAAATTCCCGACTTGCAAGAGAACCTCCCCTCTTACTCTTCATGCTCGCAACTCATCATAGAGATGAGTAAATTCAGGTGGCAAAATCCATGCCTCCTCCACAACATCTTTTCTACACAACATTTTCCCATTTTTCAAAATTCTTTCCTTTGCTTTTCACTCTCTCCACTTCGTCATCCTTCTACCCTCCCACCATATTTATTCCTCCTACAGGACCCCTGTCTGCAGTAGTAAAATGAGTTTTTCGTAGCAGTTACTTAATTTACAATGTCCGGCAGACACAGTGAAGCCCCGCCCCGTAGGAGGAGCTAACACAGGCGGACCGAATTAGGTGGTCGATCGTTAACAAATGAACCCTTAATCTTTTTAGAGGAGCTAAACACACACAAAGGCCCAATCAGAGGCCGCGGTTCCAGGAGCTCGGTGGGCGGGGCGGGGCAAGCTACCTCCCACCTCCCAGCCTCTCGCAACGGCCGTCCGAGCCTCGCGGGCTTCCGCACGCCCCGCCCCCCGACCAGGCGCGGCGGCTATTGGGCGGCGCACTCCTTGCCGTCGCCTCGGTTGCTGGGAGAGGGAGGGAGGGGGCGGGGCCTGAGGTGGGTCCTGGGGCCCGAGAGAAAGGCCGGGAGGCGAGGGCGGGCTGGGCGGATTTGACGAGAGCCGCGGCGGTTGGCGAAGCGGACGGGGCGCAGCCTCTCCGGTGCGAAGAGCAGTCCCCACTGACAGATCCCCTTCTTCCGGCCGCGCCACCCGGGAGGCGGATCCCCGGGGCCTGAGGAGGCTTCCTTGGCTCTGGACTCCTGGACTCCCTCCCTCTCCTACGAGTCACCCGGGCGGCCTGGGAGGAGAAGGAGGAGAAGGAAGTCGTCGGGGGCGGCGGCGGGCAGAGAACCCGCTCGTCTTTTCCCGGCGGCGGCGGCGGCGGCGGGGGCAGGACAATGGAGGTGGCTGTAGAGAAGGCGGCGACGGCGGCCGCGGCGGCTTCGGCGGCGGCCGCCGGGGGGCCCTCGGCTCCGCCGAGCGGGGAGAACGAGGCCGAGAGTCGGCAGGGCCCCGACTCGGAGCGCGGAGGCGAGGCGGCCCGGCTCAACCTGTTGGACACTTGCGCCGTGTGCCACCAGAACATCCAGAGCCGGGCGCCCAAGCTGCTGCCCTGCCTGCACTCCTTCTGCCAGCGCTGCCTGCCCGCGCCCCAGCGCTACCTCATGCTGCCCGCCCCCATGCTGGGCTCGGCCGAGACCCCGCCGCCCGTCCCCGCCTCCGGCTCGCCGGTCAGCGGCTCCTCGCCGTTCGCTACCCAAGGTGAGAGGCGGGTGCGGGCGCGGTAGGGGGTGGAGAGCCCGGGCAGGCCGGCGCCCTGGAGCGGCGCAGCGACCCGCTGTCATGTCGCCGCCGCCCGGGGTGCGCGGCGGGGGAGGGGCGAGGAGGGTCTGTGCTGCCGGCGGTGACATGGAGGGCCCGCGCGTTGTGCGGCGTACCGCGCGCCCCGCGAGCAACTTCCACCGGCGCTGTAGACTTGGCCGCGCTGCTGCTGCTGCTCCCCAGCATTCTCCCCCCGGGTGCATGGCCCATGCGACCCGTACTTTTGAAAACCTCTGTTGGAGTCTGCTGTAGTATCTCGGGTCCTTTGACGACTGCATCTAGTTAACCGCTGCCCTCTGCCTCCCCAAAGCTTTGTCCAGGTCCATGTGATCCTAATCATCTCGTATGTACCCATGTTATTTGAGCTGGAGAGGGGGAGGGAGGGATAAAGATGAAGTGATGGTGACTTTCTTTGATGATTGATTACAGATCGGATGCCGTCTATTTTTTGTCTTGCATGTTTTGGGTTATTTACCTTAATGAGCCCCCAGTTCTCTCCTCTCCGATGGGGACAAAGGAACTAAGAGACGGTGTTTTGTTGTCCTTCTCTTTCGGAGATTTTATTTTGAGACAGTAAATGGTAAAGAGAAACAGAACAAAGTGATTTGGGGTGCCGCATTTTCTTGTATTTTGTGGACAGCAGCTGGAAATGTTGAAGTTACTGTTCTCTTTGTGGTGTTTGTTACTGTATAATGAGACTTTTGACAGGTAGTTCCCATTGCTAACGTTAACAGGTTTGAAACACTTAAAGTAAGCACAGTAAATTGTTTCTAGTAGAATAATTGAGGTTTTAAATGTTTATATTGCAAATATTTGAGCACCTCCGTTTAAAAAATACAAAGTGGAAATAATTCGTTTTTAATATATACTGCCTTTTTTAAAGGGACTAGTTGATTTAATTAGAGATAAAGTGCAGATTAAACAGTTGAGCTAGGTCAAAGAACATATGAAATTGATGCTTTTAAATAGGTTGTAGTGTTAGATTCTTGATTTAATTATATGTTAGGAACAGTGTCTAGTTGAGAGAGACAGTTTTCCGTGGGTTTCTCTGTTTCTGCAGGTCTTACCAGGGGAGGTACTGACTGCCCTTTGTTTCTGTTTTTAAAGGATGTTTGTATAAGGAAGAGCCTTGGAAGGTAGAGATAGTGTCTTCCACCAGAGCAAAGAATAGCCATGCATGTGGTGCTGTATAATAAAGATAGATGTCACCTTCTGGAGTGAAAGGCAGGCATGCTTATTGCCCATCATAAAAGAAGAGGGTTCCCTAGGCTTAGGTTTCCTCTTCTGCAACACAACCCATTGCCTGTGCAAGCATCAGCTGCCCCTCTTCACCTTGCCAGGTGGGAACCAGGCCTCTGGAAACCAGTGCAAAAATGTTGACACTTTGGCTTATATTATTACTGGAAGTAACAAACTGCCCTTTGTATCTGACCCACAAGTCTCCTGTCTTCAACCAGCATCCGTGGAAGCTACTTTGTTAGCTTACAAGTAGGGTAAAATCTCGAATCCTTCACGCTGATTTGCTCTGCCATGGCCCACCTGTTGGAAAGTTAGTACAGGTGAAACTTAAATTTTAGTTCTTAATTTTTAGACACATTTAAGTGTTTCTTTTATTTATATTTTAAATGATCAAATGGGCCAGTAGCTAATTAGGAACTAAATTTTGCATAATTCTAGAATTAAGATGTATTGTGTGCCAGGCCATGACATTTAGATCTGAATGAATGAGACCGTGGGTAATAAAAGCTCTGATCCTCAACTCTGAGGCAAGTTTGCAATTATATAGAGTTCTCAAAATGTTCCAGTCTCCAAATATTTTTTACCTTTGTGTTTGTATTGTAAGCAAGAGTTCAGGAAAGCATTTAAATTGGAAGATAATGTTTTTGTTTTTATACTAAGAAAGAAGAAGCCTTTGTTAAATGATACTTTCACATACACCTCTAAAAAATAGTTAGGGCTATCTTCAATAAATTAAAAATACTATCCTGAGTCTTAATAACTTGAATATTTTCTCCCTGCCTCTCTCCTTGCAAACTTATTTTAATACTAGCTGTAACAAAAGTTTAGGCAATATATTTCAGAACTACACTTGACCCTTGAACAACACAGTTTGAACTGCAAGGGTGCACTTATACACAGATTTTTTTCAATAGCAAATACTAGAGTAGTACAAGATTTGCGGTGGGTTGAATCCAAGGATGCGGAACTGGTGATAGGGAGGGCCGACTGTAAGTTATATTCGAAATTTCAGTGGCGGAAGGGTCAGCACTCCTAACCCCAAACTTGTTCAAGAATCAACTGTAAATAAATAGGGTTCATTTGATTATCTCTGTTCTTCATTCTCCTAATGAACTTGTGGGTACAGGCATCATAGGTCAAACTACCTTCAGGAGCTAAGCAAGTAATTGAGATGGAGAACTATGAGCCTGGGGTAAAATAATAGGGAATGGTGGGGAGTGAAAGGAAAGGGGAGCAAACTGTACTTAGCTGCAGCACATTGTCCTGTGACAGCGCAGGGCCAGGGTTGGAGGATATTTTATTTATTTATTTTTTAACGAGAAGTCTGGAGTCTGGATTTTTATGTCATGTTTTTCTAGTATTAGATATTGGCAAGTAATTAAAAATGCACAGGCACACGCACACACGCGCGCACACACAATGTAGACCCGTTCTGTAGGCCAAACAAAACAAGTTTTGTTGAAGCCACATGTGTTGCAATTATACTCTTAGATTTAGATAGGGGTTTTCAAATTTTAGCTCTACTAGAATCACCTGGTATGCTTGTTGAGCATCTAGATTTCTAGGCCTCTCACCCCAGAGAGCCCAGTATGTCATAGTTTTAGAGTTCTAGAGTATAATCATAAACCCTAGTTTTTTGGGGGGTTTTTTGAGTTTTTTTTTAGCTCAAGCTGTATTATATTCCACAGTACAGTTGATCAAAGAGGATTCTTTAGAAAATTAAAAATTCAAGGTGTAGTGTTCTCCACAGTATCAGACCTAGTTTCCCTTTCTATTAAGTACTTTTTGCTGCTCCCTTTGTTATATCCTAAATGAACTTTATAGAAAGCAAGTCTTTTCTAACACGTATTTTTTACAAAAATCAACATAATGGTTTGACTGTTTTAAAGAAGAAACAAAGCTAATTTATAGCAACAAACATATAATTTGTAAATGCTTAGACACAATTACACTAGCCACCAAGCCTCCATTGAGAACGTTGGTTCAAACTTTTGTAAGGCTACCAGTTGGAAGGAATGAGGGTGAGTGACCACAAGCTAAAGTTGGTTTACTACCTCAGTCCCGACTTTCATTTTCTTAGTATGCAGTAATGTCCAGGAAAGAGGGAAGAGCTTAGAAAACATTTTCTTTAGGTACATATTGGTACATGAAGTCAGGAGACAAACTGATCTTGGAGAAATGTTACAACATTGTGCAATATTTTGTAGTGTGGATGTACCGTTCAGCCAAAGAGTAGCAAGCTCTAAGAGCTATTTTTAAAGAATACTGAGAGCACACTTTTGAAAGGGGTCAAGGGAGAGTAAAATGTGAGTCCATCAGTCCTCTTTATTAACTGGCAGTCTGTAAGATACAGCTATCAATTCTGGGAGCTGATTTCTTTTGGTTCTTGGAGAAAGGTATTAATCACGTTTCGAATACAATATATAATGACAAAGGATTTAAGATTTAAGATCTGTATACAATATTCACCTGTTGATGGAAGTTACTGTTGATTTCAGTTTGGGGTTGTTATGAATAAAACAGTTATAAATACTTGTAGACAAGTCGTTATGTCAATATGTTTTCATTTCCTTGGGTAAATACTTAGAATTGGAATTCCTTGTTTGTGTCATAAGTGTATGTTTACCCTGGTGTACCATTTTGCATTCCCTCCAGCAGTGTATGAGAGTTCAAGTTAACGTCCTCACTAATTGGGTGGTGTTAGTCTTTAATTTTAGCCGTTCTAACATGTTTGAAGAGGTATCTCATGATTTTAATTTTCATTTCCCCAATGAATAATAATGGGCATCTTTTCCTGTGCTTATTGGCTATTCTTACTTATTTTTGGTAAAATTTCAGTTTAAGGCTTTTGTAGATTTTTAAAACTAGATGATTTGGCCTGTTACTGAAAAGTAAAAATTCTTTATATATGTCCAGTTTCCTGGCGCTTGTCTACATACACATATTGCAGGTATTTTCTTCCACTCCTTTTGCTTGCTTGTTCATCTTCTTTTTCTTTTTTGTTTTTTTGCTGCACCATGCGGCATGTGGGATCTTAGTTCCCCGACCAGGGATCATACCTGCACCCCCTGCATTGGAAGTGTGGAGTCTTAACCACTGGGCCATCAGGGAAGTCCCTCATTTTCTTTTTTATTTTAACTTTCTATTTTATTTTGGAGTATAGCCAATTAACAGTGTGATAGTTTCAGGTGCACAGCAAAGGGACTCAGCCATACATATGCACGTATCCATTCTCCCCCAAACTCCCCTCCCATCCAGGCCAAATAACATTGATAAGAATTCCCTGTGCTGTACAGTAGGTCCTTGTTGGTTATCCATTTTAAATATAGCAGTGTGTACATGTCCATCCTAAACTCCCTGACTATACCTTCTTATTGATGGTGTCTTTTGAAAAGCTGAAGTTTTAAATTTTATCTAGTTTATAATTTCTTTTTCTTTTATGGTTAGTGATTTTCGTGTTCTGACAATTCTGTGCCTACTCCAAGTTTACTTAGATTTTTCTCCTGTCTTTTCTTTCAGTACTTTTATAGCTTTAGCTTTTATATTTAGATCTGTAATATATTTTGGGTAATTTTTGTGCTAGTTAAAGGTTGAGGTTTATGTTTTTAACCGTATGTTAAAGCACCATTTTTTGAAAAGAATACTTTCCCCGTTATATTACTTTTGGCATTTTTGTAAAAAGTCAGTTGAACATATATGTA